GGAGCTGGGAACTGCTCATTAAGAACTTGTTGATAGAGATCCTTAGTCTTCTGAATGTTAAGCGTCAGTCCCATTATTTTGTATGCCTCAGTAAAGATGCTGATGATTGATGAAGGTCTGCTTCCAATTGAACACAGACTGCAGCATTATCAATATTATGTTGGAGCTTGATGATTGAGGTTGGGGTGGTCTTAGTTTTGGTTTGGTGTTGACTGACATTAAACAGTTTACCATCTGTTCTGTACTTTAGCTCTTCTCCGAATGAAAGATTGTTGTTGGTCAGATGTAGCATCACGGTAAGGAGTATTGAGAAGAGTGTTGGAGTGATGACACAGCCTTGCTTATCTCCCATCTTAACCTTAAAAGATCTGTGATAGATCCGTTGTTAAGAACCACCACTCGCATATCATGGAGCAGGCATAGAATGGTAATGAATTTTGGTGGGCATCCGTACTTCAGAAGGATCTTCCACAGTGCTTTTCAGTTGACCGAGTCAAAGGTTTTTGTGTGGTCAAAGAAGGCCATGCAGAGAGGTTTGTGGTGTTCCCGGAATTTTTCCTGCAGCTGGTGAGCTGTGAAGATAATATCAGTTGTGCCTCTTGAGGCCCCAAACCCACACTGAAATTCTGGAAGAAGTGGAAGGAGACAATTCAGGAGGTTCTCTCAGTGATCTGTCCTGTGGTGGACAACAAGGCAATCCCTCTGTAATTTCCACAGTTGGACCTGTCACCTTTCTTGAAGACTGTCACTGTCATGGCATCCCTGTGGTCGTCTGGGATTTCCTCATCATTCTTGATCCTTAAGATGAGGGCATGGAGCTGTGATGTGAGCTCTTCTCCCATCTGTTTGAAGATTCCAGTGGGAATTCCATCAGCTCCAGATGTTTTGTCATTCTTCACCTGCTTGATGAAGAAGGACTTTCCTCATGTCATCAAGAGTTGGAGGGATTCCAAGATCATCTCTGACGGCATTACAGAATGGAGTTGAGAACACTCTCCTCAACTACAGCTGTATTTGAGAAGGTCTTCAAAATGCTCCTTCCAATGGACAATGGATGGCTCCCCTTTCCTTTGGTCAGGGGGCCTCCATCCTTAGGTCTCAAGGGGGTTGGTCCCTGAGTGATCGGACCATAGATGCAGCCATTGCTTGGGAGTCAGTTTGAGTAGATGAGTCAGTGATTGGTTCTGCAATAGTCAGCTCTTAGCATAGCTCAGGTGATGTGGACATCTTTGTGATCCTGGGCATGAACAATACGTAGTCAATTGGGTGCCAGTGCTTAGATTGTGGGTGTTGCCATGCTGTTTTGTGCCTGTATTTCTGTTGGAACAGGGTGTTGGTGTTGGTGAGTCCATGTTCTTCATATTTGGTCATGAGGAAGATGCTATTTGAATTGACCCTTCCCACTTCTTCCTTACAATGATTCTGTTCCAGAGGCTCAAGACTCTTCTGACTCTGGTGTTGAAATTGCCAAGGAGAATAAATTTGTGTCACTCCAGAACATCAGAAAGGACTTGGTCAGGGTTAGTGTAGAATTCCTCCTTGGTTTCATCAGTGGCATCAAGAGTTGGGGCATACACACTGATGACAGTGGCATATTGGCTCTGTAGCAGGACTGAGTCCAAGGGCCAGCCACAGTGCCCCTTGGTGGCCTCGTGGATCCTACTCTGCTTGCTTTAGGGTGCCCTCCCTTCCAGCTGGTGGGCCTGACCTTGGTGTCCAGGACAGGCGGGTCTCGGGCCTAATCTGCGCAGGTGGGTGGGGGAGAGGGGAGGTGAGGGTGGCCCTGGCTGCCAAGATGGGGGCAGGGAGTATCACAGGCCTGAGCTGTTTGTGGAGGCTTGGTAATTTGGCTGTGGGGAAGCGTAGCAGTATTAATTGCCACTGCTTCCTGCCGCCAAATATCCTGACCTGCGGGGAACCCCATGGGCCAGGTGCCTTGGCTTTCTGGGTCAGATTTAGCATGCGTGCCAGAGGTTGGGCACCCTGCCCTAGTGCATGGTAGCCCAAGTCCAAACTTGCTTAGAAGCACTCCAGTCTCAGCATGTATGTACCTGATTGATGCCAGAGCTGTGTTGTGATCCTGAATGTATCTGAAGTGGTCTCTTTGGAGCAGCTCTGTCTCTGATAGGTGTTCTCAGAGGACACTCCATTCACATTTGAGAGCAATAAATTCAATGCAGAGCAGCAGCTATATTCCCAGAACTCAAAAGTGGCCAGAGAAAGGCAGTCAGTGAGCTTCTGCATAATATCTTAATGCTTAGAGCACTTTCTAGGAAGTGGGAGTTTGGGCTTTAGGGAAGTGACAGAGAGGAGAGGTAAGAAAGAAAAGTGTATTTTGAAAGAGAAATGTGGCTCAGCACAGTGAGTATGAGTCTATTTAAAGATCACTAAATCTTAAAGGGTCAGAATAACAATGCACAAAGATAAGTATAACAAAAAGAGCAGCAAGGTGAAGAGGATTAAAAAGAGGATGAGGAGCAAGAAAACTACATTTCTAAGGAAGGAAACAGAGAGGATATTTTTTCTTAATTTGATTCCTTGTACTGGTATTTTGGTTCATTAGAAGGGTTTTATTATTTTGCTCTTGTATGTGTATTCAGCACAACAACAGTAATGAGTCTGGGATAAATTTTGTGACTGTATAAACTATTTTCCTGATGATTGTGAAAGCAGTTCAGATACTTTCTATAGTGTTGTTCCCCATTTTATATTGTTGTGAATGTTTATGAAAAATTCATAGATTGTAGAGTGGGAAGGGACCACAAAGGATCATCGTGTCTGACCAAAAAGGATCTTTGTTCCTGAATGGTTTGTTTGGAAAATAAATAAAAGCACAAAAATCCTCTCTATAAGGGCACAGACCAAGATTACAAATGAGATTTAGTTGAATATTTTTGAAAACAAAGAATTTGTGTTCATCGAGAGATCTCCAGAAATAAAGTACCTAGAAAGAGTTCCCCTTATTTTCACAGCCTATAACCAACCAGAAAATGGGACTTTAGACAAAAGTTGTATTTATCTAGAAAATGTAAAATGTTATGCATGTCTCAGTGTATCAGGATTAACTGCAGGTGGCCTTGCTTTCATTTTATACAGGAATAGTGGTATTCGTAGTTGCCAGAAGACTGGAAGTATAGGCTTTGGGCTTCAAAACCTGGTAGTGGTCTGTGGCCTAATAAGTTGTTTAAACTTTCTGACTGTCCTTGTCTGTAAAAATGGGTTTGAAAACACCTTTGTTACTAGTAGTGTTGTAAGATGTAGTAAGTTAATGGGTTTGAGGTATTTAGTGGTCCTTAAATTGGAATAAATACAGAGCTTCATTTATTTAGTGATTGACAGTATGACACAGAATTTTATCAATAATAAAATAATTTCTCTGTGGGAATTATACTAAGACTGTGCTGTATTGAAACATTGCCTAGGGAATGCTATTTTGTAGTACTAGCATTTATCTATGTTAACGTAGGGTGCTTGTACACATGATGAAAATTGACTGACTGTTTTTGCAGTTCAGCTGCATCACTCTGTACATGTGTGGGAGTTTTTTACAATTTAAATGACTTTGCTACGTTGCAAACTAAACCGCATCTGCATGTAGTGTAGTTTGCAACGTAGCTACGTGTAACATTGCAGCATTTGACAGCCCTCCCCCCTGCCACGGGAGAGGCGGGCTAAAGGCAGAAGCGGTGAGGGGCCCAGTTCTTTTTTTATTCATGGAGCCTGCCCGTCTCTCTCATGGCCAGGAGGTGAACTGCTGGTAGGCCGAGCGCCCCCTGAGCTGCTGAGGGCCCCAGTCCTTCCTTCCACGGTGACAGCGCTTCTTGGGGCCACCTGGACGGGCTGCTAGCAGGCACGTGCTGCCTCAGCTTGGGCTCAGGTAACAGTTGGATTGGGTGCTGCCTGCAAGCTGGGGCAACATCTGCCTGCTAGCCACCTGCCTGAGTGGCCCCTGGAGGCATCACTGCCATGGAGGGAAGTTCCGGGGCCCCCGCAACTCGGGGCCTGCCAGCAGCTAGCTGTCTGGCCACGGGAGAGGCAGTCAAGCTCTGACAGGGAGGAAAAAAAGATCAGGCCCCTTGCCACGCCCCCCCCCCCCCCCCCACCACAGCAGAGCCTGCCTGCGTGAGCTGCCACTGGGCTGCACAGCCTCTGAGCTGCAGGAGGTCCTGGTCCTTCCCTCTGCAGCAGCATTGCAGGCAGCACCCGCCAGATTCAACTCTTTCAATAGCCCGTGTGGACAGCAGAGCCCAGCGGGCTTCTGGCATGCAGGCTCAGGGAGGAGTTGGATCCGGCGGGTGCGGCCTGCAAACTGGGGCAGCACCTGCGCAGATAGCACCACGCCCAGGTGGCCTCAGGGGGTGCTACTACTGCAGAGGGAAGGACCGGGGCCTCCTGTGGCTCAGGGGCCACTTGGTCCACCAGCAGCTCAGCCGCCGGCTCGGGGAGAAGCAAGCAGGCTCCGTAGGGAGAAAGAAAAAGGATTAGGCCCCTCACTGTAACAGTGGTGATGGAAGCCCCTAAATTGAAAGGATGGGTTTTTAATCATCGCAATTAAAAACCCACCTTTTTAATTTAGGGGGCTAAACCCCCATCACATATAAGTGGCCAAACGTATTTAATGTGAAGACAACTGTATAAATTTTTGGGGTCATTAAATCCTAAAATCCAGTAGCTCTGACATTCAGCCTCTGAAGCACTACTACTGTATACAAAATTTTGTATTTTTCAGTTTATACTTTTTAATACTGTTTTATAGTATTTTACTCAACTCCTAGATTGATGTCATGGGAGAATTCCAGCTCCTAAATATTTTACAATGTGTTAAAATGTAGTGCTCTGCTAAATGAAAATTTCATTGACTGCTTTTCAGTTTGCCTCACTATTATAAGTGACTTAGTGACATTTTCTGTGAACTGGGCTGTCTGATGACTACATGAATCCCTGGCTTGAAAAAGCCCAGTGAGCTAATTTTTATTTATCACATTTTTCTTTACCTGCAGAATTGAACTGGCTTAGTAATCCAAGCTTCTCTACAGAAGATGCACTTAAACTGCATCAGCGCTCTATAGAGGATACAAATTTAACCCCAGAGAGATCGCCACTCATAAGGTAACATGTTCCTTGGCCATTTTCTTATGTCCTGCTTATCTTTTGCTACAAGTGTGACCAAAACCAGGCAGTTTCAGTGTCACTTTTCACTTTACGTTTTTCTATTTATAGAGGGCCTGAGCAGAGTTGCTTATAATATTTGATAATTTATTATCACTTAAAATCATTCTTTTGTAACTTTCCCTTATTTTTTTTCTCCACTGCTTCATTTTAATCACTCCTGCTTTGGGCAGGGGAAGGGAACTTGGTAATCTTTGATTCTTCATTAACTTTCGATGGTCTTGTGCAATGCTTGGAAGACTGTTACGTCTCAAATCTTTGTGATTTTTTCCCCCCCTTTTTTTAAGAGAGCTAGTTTTTCAAATAGCTACTTCCCCTGTTACAGTATAATATAGAAAAGGATAAAAACGACAATGTGTGGAGATGTGAATTAATGAATGATTGATTGCCTCTGTGAAGTTGTGCATCTGCAGTGCATTGCTATAGGTCATTTAATGGTTGATTACATTATTTTATTAAAATGAAGTTCATAACATTGGTTTTGTTGATTTTAATCTTATTACCTGAGAGATGCAATGCTGAACATACTTATTTAAATCTCAGCTATACTGTAGCCCCCAATAAAAATGTAGTCCAGTTGGAGCTGCAGTTTTTGACCTCGCTCACGTCCAATTCGGTACAAGGGTCGTATGTTTGATTACTTATATTAATGACAGAAAATGTGTTCCTTAATTCATTTGAAGACAACTTGGCAAATAAAGAGCTATTTGCAGCATTCAACGTGTGCAGCAAAAAATGATATATGTATCATCATTATACATATGATTTTAAAAATTGCTGTTGCATTTTATATATATATTCTCACTATATGTTCTATATTATCCTTTTCAGTTCCTTATAGATTTATCATGTGATAAAGCAAAGGAATTCTAATTTTTTTTTGCCTATGATATAGTTTTATTTAAAATTATGTTATATTATATTTTATATTAAACTACTAAGGTGAAAGCACAACAAGGAATTTATTATCTTCTAGTTCATTAGTAGGGTGTTTTCCCAGTTTACTGTTGTGGATTTATTTTTTTACCTCTGCTCTTTTTTTCCCCCCCTAAATAGTAATCTATAAATACATTTTAAATATTGCTTTTTTTTTTTGCCATTTATTTATTTTTGGCACCCTTCTAATAAAGGGTAAAGTAGGTTCAGTACTTTTTTGCTGCGGAAGCATTACTTTTATTTAGTTAGTTTATCTTGGAAATATGAAAAAATATCAAATATCATGTGTTTGCTGAAAGATTTCTTGGAAATCTCAGAATTATCAGTGAGAAGGGGAGGATGGTGCATTTTTTATACAGGTATTCAGTCTTCCAGTTGTTTGTTAGGCTTTAGAGTCAAGTGTTAAGAACTATTATAGATGGGGTGCACTGATAGAGATTTTTGGGGCTGATACCAATAGTCAATTTTTAAGGAGGCATATTGGCCAGTACTGATCTGATTTCCAATACGCAGCTCTTCAGCTTGAAGAGCTGCATCCAGCTGGTAAGTCTGGTGTGGTGGAAGTGGGGTGGGGGGGGCGCAGATCAAGGCCCCTGCGGTGAAGGAGGAAATGGAGCTGGGACTGGAGCATGGAGGGGCATGGGACAGAGCTGCAAGTGGCTCGTCCGGGGAAGGGCAGTGTGCGACCCCTGGATCTGCATAGCTCAGGGTGGGCTACAGCTGCTGGCTAGGACTAGGGCAGGTGTGGGACAGAGGCGTGGCTCATCGGGGGGAGGGGGGGAGGAAGTGAGAGGTGGGCTCTCACCACTGCACGCGGCTTGTCCAGTGATCGTTTGGTGGCTCCCACTGCTCGTTTGGGAGGACATACGCGGGGGGGGCTTGTGCCCCCAGATCAGCCCTGCCCCAGCCTGCACCTCACCCCACACAGATCCAGGGGCGCGCCCACCCTGGCCCCGGCTGGGCAGCCCTTGTCCCAGCCTGAGCCCCACCCCCTCCTTCACCACAGGGAGTGTTGATCTGCCCCGCCTTCCCTTCCTCTTCCACCACACCAGACTCCTCACTGCCTGTGTGCTGCGCTGCGGCTGCGCACATGCATGGGCACTTACTGGACAAATTATCAGCTGCATCGGGCTGATTTCCAATACAGAAAATTTTCTTTATATCGGTGCTGATTTGATATCAGACTGGTGTATCGGTGCCCCTCTAATTATAGACCTTTTTGTCATCAGTAACTAACTTCCTTAACTTTGCATGTGCTTGGTTTCAGTTGCTTACCATACCATACCATACCATACATAGTTCTCTAGATACCATATGTCACTGTCTTTACTTGTATATCACGTGCAGCATCCCCCCCAAAATTGGGGTGCGTAGCTTTAAGTGAGGAGATTGATTTTTTTTTTTTCTATGCTGGAGTAGAAGCAAGAAGACACTAGTAACATGACTGCCATTTCTCCTTGGGGTAGCAAGCAGCAGCGGAGTCTAGTGTTAACCCTTTCATGAGGCAGTAGGTTTTGGCTGAAGAGCATCTGAGCTTGCATGCAGTCTATAGTATCTTGATGAGGCTTGTAGAAGCAATGCTTCATTATTTAGTGGAACTTGTATAAAGAACTATTTACAGTAGGGAACTAACAGTCTTGCTACTGTACTTGCAAGGGCCTGGGGCCTTGCCTTGTTGATGTCCTGCCACATCAGGAGTTCCTGCTGCCTCACTCGTACTGTCTTCCTAGACACTTTGTTCCCAGGAAAATGTACTCTGTCACAGAGTCAGGCATGACTCTCTAAAACTTGTTTTTATACGTTCTTCTTTCCAAAAAAAAGGTGGTGCGTGTCATATTTGGGAGCATGTAGTATGTGAGAAAATACAGTATTATGGGGTGAGCAGTTAAGGAATTTCTAATCTGAAAGAGCAGATTATTTTTTAAAAAGTAGAAAAATCAACATATCTTCTTTTACTTTAGTGATAATAATGGAAAGAACTGTATCACTTTGATAGGCAAGAAAAATACAGTTTGCTGTGAGCAAGTAGAACTTTGTAAGTTTGGTTTCAAGAAATAGAAGAAGCTAAAAATTAAAGATTGTTATTCTTACTCATTTATTTCATTTTTTATTGCACACATTTATACCATTTGCTTGTCCCCCATTCACACTCTAATGTTGAGGAGGTGGAAAGCTCATTATGAACTTTCTCGCTGATGAGACACTGTTAGATTTCTATTGCCTAAATATTTATTTGTTTCCAAGCAGGAGTGTTTCAAGATCAGAGCTATTAGGAGGAAGTGATACAAATGAAGGTCTAAAAAAAACTACTAGGAAGAAAAAAGAGAAAAAGAAAAAGCATCATCATCATCACAAGAAAATAAAAAAGAAAACCAGAGAAGAATCAAGTTATAGTGAGTCGGAATCAGATGCTGAATATGGGAAGGACAAACCTGTAGGAAGTGACAGAAACTGTGAAAGAGAAGCATCATCATTGAGGTACATACATTTTATTTAACAATAGATGCAAATTAGTTGTGTTCATGTAGCTGTTACTTATTTATACTTGTTGGACTGCTACCTGTGGGCCTCTCTTTTTCTCCCCTAACTTTTTTGTTAAGGTTTTCATCTTTACTGTCTTTACTGATCTGCTCATGCTTTTTCAGTTTGTCACTTTTGAAAAAAAACACCTAGGACTATTTTATGACACCTTTTTTAGAGCTGAACAAAATACCAGAGCAAAGTAAATGTAGCCTTTAAAAAATCTTTATATGCTTACTTAGAAATATTATAAATCTTTTCTTTTATAAATCCGTAGTTAAAATGCTCTACTATGTTGTCTGTTGTTGTTTTTCCCCTTCAGAAATCAGCATTCATTTTGAGGCATACTGATATTTGTATTAACATTTTTACTTTTAGACCCAGTCTCCATCTATTAGTTATACAGTCTGTTTTATACACTTTTTTTTTTTTTTGGTATACCTGAACTGAGATTTTGAATGGCATATGTTTTGTTACATAATCTTGTTTGCCACAGGCAGTGACTCCAAAATACCCAGAAATGGATAGAAAAATCACTGTGTATGCATCAAGAAGTTTGACTGTGATTTCAAATAATCATTGTGGTGAAACAGATAAGAAAAATAATTTGTATCAGCATTTTGGATATTCTAGCTTTAAAACTTTGCCCTTTATTTCACATAGACATTGCCCTTGGATCTATTTCAGGTGTCCAGATAAAATGATTGTAGCTTTTTATGGGGTATTTGTGTTCCCCTTCTTGTCCTCACAGGTTGTTTCTATTTAAGCATGATTGAATTCTCAGGCAGATACTTACAAAGTATATCTTCAAGTGTCTTTGTAAGGTTCCCTCTGGTAAGTTGAGGCGTTTGTGCAAAATTATTCCCATTCAGCATTTCCATTTGAAACACAGCCCATGAGACTTCTTGAGTACGTTATACTTGGGTGCATATGTTTGAGAACTTCAGAGATCTGAAACTCCTTTTTTGAGATTCATAATGGTAATATAAATTAGAATTCACCACATTCCACAGCTCTGAGAGATGACTAGCTAGCTCTTAAAGTCGCTTACATGACTAATCTATAACTTTCTGCATGACACTTTAATAAAATGTAAAGTGCATTGCTACTGTTGTCATAAAACAGCGCAATCCACCAACACATTTTCCTCTGTAAATGAACTGAAACTTCCTAAATTGGAAAAAAGCTGAAACAGTTTTTCTTCTGTAGATTTTTTCAATGTATTGAGTTCTGTTGAACACCTTGCATGATCCAGAAAGTTCTTTTTGGAAACGTAGTAAATGACGAGTGCTCATGGTGCTCGGGCCAGGTGCCAGATGATTGGAAGATAGCCAATGTGGTCCCCATCTTTAAAAAAGGGAGGCGGGAGGACCCGGGTAACTATAGGCCCATCAGTCTTACCTCAATCCTGGGGAAACTCTTTGAGAAGAGCATCAAGGAGCACATCTGTGATGGTCCGGCATCGGGGGTGATGCTCAAGGGCAACCAGCACGGTTTCATTAGGGGCAGGTCATGTCAGACCAACCTGATTGTCTTTTACATTCGGGTCACAAAAGCATTGGATGCAGGTGTCACCGTGGATGTTGTCATTTTGGACTTCAGCAAGGCCTTTGACACTGTCGACTACCTCATCCTCATTAAAAAACTAGGTGACTGTGGCATCAATGCCTACACGGTCAGATGGATTGCTAATTGGCTGAAGGGTCGTACTCAGAGGGTGGTGGTGGACGGGTCATATTCGACCTGGGGGGAAGTGGGCAGCGGAGTCCCCCAGGGCTTCGGTCCTTGGGCCCACACTGTTCAATTTCTTTATCGGCAATTTGGACGACGGGGTGAAAAGCAACCTGTTTAAATTTGATGATGATACCAAAATTTGGGGTGAGGTGGGCACGCTAGTAGGGAGGGAAGGACTGCAGCAAGACCTGGCTAGGTTGCAGGGGTGGGCTAACAAAAACAGGATGCGTTTCAATACGGACAAGTGCAGGGTGCTGCACTTGGGCAGTAGTAACTGGCAACACGCTTATAAGATGGGGAAACTCCCTTCTTGAGAGCACGGAGGCAGAAAGGGATCTTGGAGTCACCATTGACTCCAAGATGAACATGGGCCGACAATGCAAGGTCACGGTCGGCAGGGCTAACCGGACCCTATCGTGCATCCACAGGTGCATCTCAAGTAGTGCCAAGTAGGTGATCCTCCCCCTCTATGTGACACTGGTCAAGCCACAGCTGGAGTACTGTGTCCAGTTCTGGGCACCCCACTTCAAGATGGATGTGGACAACATTGAGAGGGTCCAGAGGAGGGCCACCCACATGATCCGGGGACAGCAGGGCAGACCCTACAGTGAGAGCCTACGGGACCTGAACCTGTTCAGCCTTCACAAGAGAAGGCTGAGGGGGGACCTGGTGACTGTCTATAAACTGACTAGGGGGGACCAGAAGGGTTTGGGGGAGACCTTGTTTCCCCTAGCGCCCCCCGGGATAACAAGGAATAACGGCCACAAGTTGTTGGAGAGTAGGTTTAGATTAGACCGTCGTAAGAACTACTTCACAGTTAGGGAGGCTAGGATCTGGAACCAACTTCCAAGGGAAGTGGTGCTGGCTCCTACTCTGGGGGCTTTACGAAGCGGCTTGATGCCTACCTGACTGGGGTCAATTGAGCCCAGTTTTCCTCCTGCCCAGGCAGGGGGTCGGACGTGAAGATCTACAAGGTCCCTTCCGACCCTACTTCTATGATTCTGTGATTTTTCTTTTTAAATTCACTGTTTTAGTGGCTTCAGTGGTATATTTCCTGTAGCATTTTTGCATGCTCTTCCACACAAATATGACTTGTTATTATAATACATGTACCCTAGCCTTGAGTGTGTAATTTATTATGGGATGTAGAAGTACTACATTTCCAGCTTTTGTAAATGCTAAATGTGTAACACAAATATTTAAAAAATGCATCTTCTCTTCTTCAGTCTAGAAGGCACAGCGTTATCAAATGTTCAAAACAGCCACTTCATTTGGCTTGATGATATCCAGGCATTGACAGCAGAAACCTTCAGAATAGACAAGAAACGAGATCCTGCAAACTGGGAATACAAGTCGCTATATCGAGGGGACATAGCGAGGTACAATATGCCATTTTTTATTAATACAGTATCTCTCAACACATGAATGTTGAGGTTATTAAAAGCTTAACACTAACATTTTTATTCCTCAAATGTGAAATCAGTCTGTTCAGACTTTTGTGATCCTACACAATCTTGTACGTTAAAACGCCATGTGTCACTTGGAAATGCCTTGTAAGACAAACAATGCCTGGAATAATCAGGATAAGGCCATATCATGATGTTTTGTGCATGGTCCCAATTTGCCACACTTGGAGAAATGATATTTAACGGTAGCAGTGCAGTGTAGATGTGTACACAGGAGGCAAGGATCTTAAGATTCTAGTCTGTCTTATGTCTCTTGTCTATTGTCATTTTTTGGGTCTTTAACTGCTCTGTCTGCTTCTCCATGTTTAAAGTGGGGCTCATTCTTATGCCATATGGATGATTTGAGATTTAATTGAATCATAGAGAAGTCGGGCTGGAAGGGACCTCCAGAGGTCCTCTAGTTGAGGGGTTCCCAACCTCTAGGCCACAACCTGGTGCTGGACCACAAAGGGTTTGCCAACTCCCAATGATCCTGAGGAAGGCTTTAAAAAATAAAAATAAACTCCTGAAATGTAGCAGCAGGAGGAGAAAAAAATTCCCTCCAAACCCCATGTGGCAACCAGTACAGCCCAGAAGCATGGGAAATACCCATAGTAGAATATAGGCATTGCTCCCCCTGGATCACATCCCTGACTGATGCCTGTCCAACCTCCTCTTGAATATCTCCAATGGTGGAAAGTCCATAACTTCCTTAGGCAGTCTATTCCACTGCCTCACTGTTCTAACAGTGCTTGTAAAGTGCTTTGACCTCCTTGAATGAGAGAGATTAGAAAAATGCAAATTATTAACAAGGAGAGACTGTACTTGTAATGGACTAATAACTAGCATATACTGTCCTAGTCATCTAAGGTTCCATGTTTATAGCAAACAAAGGTAAATTCCGTATCTAGCTTTCTTAGTCCTTGCTGGGACATCAGGACTGTCTATATCTGAGGGAAAACCATTTCCAGAAGGTGAAATACTCTAGTGTAGAGTCCACACTGAGTCTGTGTACCATTTGTACTCCCTTTGATTCCTAATGTTCTTGGGCAGAATAATTCATTTCCCATGCTGGGTTTTTTGTTTTCTGTTGGGATTTATGGTAGCACCACATAGGTCTTTTTAAATCAAGAGCCAATGTGGTCCCCATCTTTAAAAAAGGGAGGCGGGAGGACCCGGGCAACTATAGGCCCATCAGTTTTACCTCAATCCTGGGGAAACTCTTTGAGAAGATCATCAAGGAGCACATCTGTGATGGTCCGGCATCGGGGGTGATGCTCAAGGGCAACCAGCACGGTTTCATTAGGGGCAGGTCATGTCAGACCAACCTGATTGCCTTCTACGATCAGGTCACAAAAGCATTGGATGCAGGTGTCGCCGTGGATGTTGTCATTTTGGACTTCAGCAAGGCCTTTGACACTGTCGACCACCCCATCCTCATTAAAAAACTAGGTGACTGTGGCATCGATGCCTACACGGTCAGATGGATTGCTAATTGGCTGAAGGGTTGTACTCAGAGGGTGGTGGTGGACGGGTCATATTCGACCTGGGGGGAAGTGGGCATTGGAGTCCCCCAGGGCTCGGTCCTTGGGCCCGCACTGTTCAATTTCTTTATCAGCGATTTGGACAACGGGGTGAAAAGCAACCTGTTCAAATTTGATGATGATACCAAAATTTGGGGTGAGGGTAGTAACCGGCAGCACACTTATAAGATGGGAAACTCCCTTCTTGAGAGCACGGAGGCAGAAAGGGATCTTGGAGTCATCATTGATTCCAAGATGAACATGGGCCGACAATGCGAGGTCACGGTCGGCAGGGCTAACCGGACCTTATCGTGTATCCACAGGTCCATCTCAAGTAGGTCCAAGGAGGTGATCCTCCCCCTCTACGTGACACTGGTCAGGCCACAGCTGGAGTACTGTGTTCAGTTCTGGGCACCCCACTTCAAGAGGGATGTGGACAACATTGAGAGGGTCCAGAGGAGAGCCACCCACATGATCCGGGGACAGCAGGGCAGACTCTACAATGAGAGCCTACGGGACCTGAGCCTGTGCAGCTTCACAAGAGAAGGCTGAGGGGGGACCTGGTGACCGTCTATAAACTGACTAGGGGGGACCAGAAGGGTTTAGGGGAGACCTTGTTTCCCCTAGCGCCCCCCGAGGTAACAAGGAATAACGGCCACAAGTTGTTGGAGAGTAGGTTTAGATTAGACATCTGTAGGAACTACTTCACAGTTAGGGCAGCTAGGATCTGGAACCGACTTCCAAGGAAAGTGGTGCTGGCTGGTAGGAACCTTGGGGGTCTTGTAGAAGTTGCTTGATGCCTGCCTGGCTGGGGTCATTTGAGCCCAGTTTCAGGGGGTCAGACCTGAAGATCTACAAGGTCCCTTCCGACCCTACTTCTATGATTCTATGAAGAGGCCAGATGACAATCCTTTGCCAGCTTTTTGCCAACTCAGTATGTTAGAATCTTATATCATCCATAATTCTAGACCTTTGACTCCATCTTGTGTTGCAAATCGTGGGTTATAGAATGGTTTGGGGTGTTGCAATCTAAGATAATGTTTTAATTTGAGAATCCCTGGAATGCTCTTCTGTTGCTCAGTCTGCTGAACTTGAGTTTAAAATAAACACAATGAGAATTTTATGCCCTTCCCATTTTCATTTCATTTAAAATAATTTAGCTAGAGAAGAAACCAGCTTTTAAGGGAAGTATTATTGTAGGCACAGAAAAGGTCACAGAACAAATTCTGGGCAGATGCTGAAATAGAATGCAATGCCTGACTCCTAGTCCAATGTTATTTAATACCTTAGAAACATTGCCTTTTTGTTCTTTGAAATGTATCTGTGATGCTTTGCATACAGAGCGGGGTAATGCATGTATAATTTCTGCCATACTGCTCTGTTGCAAAAAATATTCCCGGTTCATCTAACACTTTCCCTCCATATTACATACCTGTATTGTTTTTTTCCCCCTGGGTATTTATGGTATGCTTTCCTGTGAATCTAATGTATGTGGTCTTGTCTAGTGAACTTGCTTTTCAGTTTTGTGAAATTTTTACTGAGTGACATAAAAGGGATGGAGGCCTAGACATACAAAAGAATAGACTACTGATGTTTAATGTTTCTGTCTTAAAATAACCCAATTTAAACCAGAAGTCTACATATTTAGTTGTATCTTGATTCTGTTGTCCCCAGATTACCTACTTGAGTAGAGTGGCTTCTCCCACTAAAAGGAGAAGAAAATAATTGATCTTTCACTGGGTGTATCTACACGTGTGCTTTAATGCGCAGTAGCCTATTTTAATGCGCATTAAAGCGTCAACAAAAAAACTGCACTTCTGCTAATGTGCCTTTTTCTAGTACCTCACAATGGAGTGCACTTCTACATGTGCTCCAGGGATGCAGGGGTGGCGCTTTAACTAGAGTGACTATGAGAGCCACTCCAATAAAAATGCTATCACGTCTTGTGCGTCAGTGTCCCCACGCTTAAAAATGAAGGGAGCGCTTGATCTAAAGCTCATTCAATAAGTTCTAGTTCAAGCACCCCTGCTGCCACTTTTAAGCGTGGGGACACTGATATACAAGACGCAGGCTGCTGGAGCATCGGAGCAGAGTCGTGCTCATGTGTAGGCACCTGGAGGTACTAAATTTAACACGCATTACCAAAACTGCATTGATGAATGTGTGGACACGCTCACTGTGCCTTACAGATTTTGCTTCCATATTAATTCAGTAGCTGTTTAATGCTTGCATGGCTTCTAACTATGTAAGAGAAATTCTGATAGTACTGAAAAATTAAATAAGAGCTTTACCAATTAAGAAATAAATACTAAGTAATTCTACCTTTGAAAGATCTATACAAACTTCTAATTCAGTTATTTTTGAAATTAGCCTTTTAATATTTCTCATCAAAGATAACATTTTAACAAATATATTAAAAAACTTAAAAATGCATAATTTCATTTTTCCTTTTAAGGTATAAAAGGAAAGGTGATTCCTGCCTTGGCATTGACCTAAAGAAGCAATGCATAACTTGGGATAATTCGACAGCAAAAAAGAAGCAATCCCAGAAACGACTTAATCGCTACTTTACAAAGAGTAGCTTGCAGTTGCTGAGGACAGAAGGGATTCCTGTTTCAAGCAGATGGCAGTCCTGTTCACAGTAAAAGCCAAACTTCCCCATCTAGCCCATGCTCTTTTATACCAGTTTTACAACTGGAGAGTGATGCGCCTTCTGCTCCATCTGGAGTAAATCCTCTTGGTATTTATGATCCATTGACTACACTGTGGCTACAAGGCAAAGGTCCTTCAGATGTTGATGCTTTAAAGCAGCAGACATCCCAAGGGACCAAAGACAACATTAATTCAATTTTAATGGCAAAAGTGGAAGAATATAACAAGAAGGTCAGAGAGAACCCAAGAGATGTTCATGCTTGGATGGAATTTGTTTCTTTTCAGGTATGTATTCTGACTCTCTTGGTTGCAGTAAAATGATACCATATTTAATTTGTGGATAACAAATAGTTTCCTAATGAATATCTTGCTTTTCAGTTATGTAAAGACATTATCACAAGTACTAGCAAATTGACTGTCTTGAATGATGGGGGTGGGGAGGGTGCAGGCGGGGACGGAGCACCGCCACCCGGTGCCCTGCGGTGCTGCTGCTCTGCCTCTGGCTTTGTGCACCCCACCCCCTGCGTCCATTGACGTGTGCTGTCCCCACCCGAAGGAACAGCGCTGCTGGCCTTGCTTTCCAACCCCCCCCCCGGCCCCTCAGTCCCTACTGTCATGGTGGCACTCCTGTTTCAAATTAACTGGCCCCACCCCTGTCCACTGGGGTGGTGGCACCCCTTGGATGCAGCTATGAGGCTGGAGCAGGGGGGCCAGCCCCCCATGCCACTGCTGCCTCTTAAGGAACAGGGCTGGGGGCGGGGGGAGCCAAGGCCAGCACCACTGGCTTCACCCCTCCCACCCCTGCTCCAGCCCTTCAGTCCCCGCTGTCATGGCAGCGCTCCACTGTGTGTAGCTGTCTGTGCAGAGCACTCTGGTTGTTAAGACAACCAGAGTGCGGATAAAGTGTTACAGACAGACAGACAGACAGACTAAGGCTTTTATTATATTAGAATGTTCATCTTATAGTTCATGGAATATTCCCATGTGATTTTTGTTGTTGTTGTTAAAAAACACTCTCAGTTTAGTAAGATATATGTAGTAATTCATTATCACTTATCTCAATATGCTCCTTAATGCTTTTACAGAGCCTGAGGCATTTCTGATTTATAATTGTAAGTTGATTTTTTTTCTTTTGTTTTTAAGGATGAATTAATGAGAGGATCCAGCCCTTATTCTGTCAGTGAGGGAGAGCAGGAAGTAAGGAGAAAATCACTCAAGCTAATCCTTGAAAAGAAACTGGCCATTTTAGAAAGAGCTATTGAAAGCAATCCAAATGTTGTTGATCTGAAACTTGCCAAACTGAAGCTATGTACAGAATTCTGGGAACCATCAATACTCATCAAAGAATGGCAAAAATTGGTTTTTTTGCATCCCAATAATCCAGGGCTGTGGCAGAAATATCTCTTGTTCTGTCAAAGCCAGTTCAGCACCTTTTCAGTTTCAAAAGTCCATAGTTTATATGGCAAATGCTTGAGCACTTTGGCAGCTGTACAGGATGGCAGCATGGTATCACATCCTATACTGCCTGGCACGGAGGAAGCTATGTTAGGTAAGAAGGCACTCTCTTTGTACTTCATTTTACAGCCATTAAAAGTTACACAATGATTGAATATGCCTATTTCAAAAAGAGATTTTACTCTATTGTGAGAATTTGTTTGTTCTTTTACAAACAGCTGAGTGACCATACCTGGTGTCCTGTCTCTCTAGGTGATGGAAAAAGCAAATATTTCATTAACTCAGTATGAATACAGGAAAGGGAAGCATCTGCTGAGAGAGCATGTGATATAAGATCTAGTAAATTCCTGATCTACTGAAAAGTTTAGAGTATAAATTTCAAGTAAAGAGAACCATAGCAAACAGAAAATAGGTGTGGCATGGCCTTTATAACACATCTGCCTTGTGCAACAAATAATAGTTACCAGTATATTATTAGTTAAGGATGAAACTTTAGAAAAACTTCTAATTCCTGGGGAAAAGAGAAGGATAATGAGAAGTCTAAGGAGCAGGATTTTTAGTTGGAGACTCCGTTGGGATACACACTGGGAGGAAAGATGTTCACATAATCTGGACACTGGATTTGATACAGAATATTGGGTTCAGTTCCCAAATCTAACGCAGTCGTGCTATGCACCTCTTTCAGCTCCTCATTTGCAAAATGGAGGTAGAAATACTTCCTTACCTAGCTTAGATATTGTAGGGATAAATCCATAAACACCTGAGGGGGAAGAAAACAGGGAGAAAATAATATAGGTCTTTAACAGAGCAACCTTTTGGATTAATGGCTTTTAAAGACAAAAAGGACCATTTTCTTCATCTAGTCTGACCTTCTGCATGTGTGGCACTGTCCATGGACCTCACCTGGTTATATTTGCATCAAGCCCTTTCATTTTTGTTTGAGCTGTAATGATGTCTTATATATAGAAGGCAGCATAGATATGCACCTTGATAGGCTTGGTAAGATGTATCTATTAAGGCAAAGCTTTTACAAACCCAAGTTGATTTAATCAGATGCTGAAATATATAGTCTTATAATAATAAAGATGCTGAAATATGTGTATAATACAGTCTTATAATAATAAAAACCTAAAGAAAGATATCCAGCCTTGATTTAAAGACTTTGGTGCAGGATTACCAATTAGCTTTGCATACTTGATTCTTTTACATTGTTTGTTTAAATTGGCTTGGCTGCAGTGCTGGAAAATAGCTGGAACAAATTCTGCCTTGGCAGGTGTGTGTTGGACTACCTGATAGTCTCTACTAGCGTTTTCATCTCTGATTTCTGACACTTTAGCCACCTCCTACACCCGTTGCAGGGGGTGTCGTTTCTCTGAGTTTAAATGCATGTTTCTTATTTTTTAACCTGCATATCCTTTTTCTTGTTTTCTTGCTAAATACATTTCAGTATTCTGAATCTTGCTGGAAGTTTGCTGGGCATCAGTTCTTCTCCAGATACTTTGTCTTAGTTCAGTGGATACTGCTAAACTCGCTATGGTTTTTTTGTTTATTGATAATGAAAATGAAATCAAATGTCTCGTTGTTTCTGGTCACTTTAAGTTTATGGTTATTGTGTGTGAGCACATTATAGTTTTTAGTTGCAAACACTGTAGAAAAATGTTGTTTATGTTATACTTGGAAATTCTTCTGTTAGCATGATTTTATCGATATCAGTTTTTGTGACTGCTTCTTATAACCAGGCCTGTATCTTGGGCTAAATTTGACTGGGAAATGTCTTTTTTTTATCACTTATTAGGAAAATTACTAAATGTCAATCATGATAAATAAACCCAACTTTTCTCATAACCTGATTTTTAAGATGTAGCAAGTAGTATAGATGTATGCCAGACACTTGTCTTCAGCCCTTGACCTTCATCATGTTCAACGACAAGTATTGTAGAGGAATAGAGCAAAAATGCTGGTGAATTATGCCACCCAGTGTTCACTTGACTATATTGCTGGTTTATTGAAAGTAATATTGCTGTGATGCTCCAGATCCCATATGTGAACTGCAAGGGTTTTTTGGTGATATCTTTTATTGGATACACTGTATAGTTGGGAGAGATGGCAGACAAAGCTTTCAGGCACAAAGAGCTTATACCTAAAAAGGGCACATTGTGCTTTGTCTACTATCTCTCCAATTATACAGTTGGTCCAGTAAAAACGCACACAAAAAAACCTCCTTAACACCCCCCCCTTGCTTCTTGAATATAAGTAGGAATTTTAAGAGGTTAGTGATGATTTTTGTCAGGGTAGATATAAATTGCTGTTAAAATATAAGTTATTGAACATTTTTTTTTTTATTAAATACGTTTTCCCTTTTTCCCTTTTCCTTTTAATAACAAACTGGTTTTAAATTTTAAATGGCAGCCTATCTTAATCCTGTTTTCTAGTCTATGAATAAAATATAGTCTGATATGAATGCAACCGATGAAAAATATAAGGACATGGAGCCAGTTCTTAAAAAGTGTGCCAAAAGATGCAGATATTGTGTTTACTCAAATCCATGCCAAGATTCCCCCCCATAATATTGTGGGGGGGGGAACCTCCTTGTCTTGGATTCGAGTACAAGGTGTTTGAGGAGTTAGGCAGCTGCTGCGGCTCCAGCTTTGGCCCCAGCCTAGTGTTGGTCCCTATTCCCTCCTTCCCTCTGCCACCATTCCCCAACAGCCTCCGGACTGGAGCTGCCATGACATTGCCTCTGCTAGTAGGCTGGGGTAGGGCTGGGGCTGGAACAAGCACATGCTCCAGACCAGAGTGGGGCCATAGCCTGCTGGAGCAAAGGTAAGCGCTGGGCGGGGGTAGGGGGGCAGGGTGGATGGGGACGGGAAAGGGGGATCAGGTGTGGGGGACAGGTGGGGATGCAGAGGCTGCAAGGGAGACAGATGGTGGGGAGTTGGTTCAGAGGAGGAGGCAGTGGTGGGGGTGCAAGTGGTAGGCATGACAGGTGGTAGAAGGCAAGGTGTGTGTGTGTGTGTGTGTGTGTGTGTGTGTGTGTGTGTGTGTGGGGCGGGGGTGGCAAGTGGCAGGGGTCAAGTTGCTTGACCTTCCCGCTTCCTCACCACCTGTCCCCCTGCTACTGCTTTCCTTGCTGCAGTGGTAGGGAGAGTGAGGACAAATTTAAGACAGCCCTCCAATAATTAGATTCTGTACTTGGTAAATTATAACATTTATAAATTTTCAATGTATTGAATCTAATTACTGGGGGGGGATTATCTTGAATTCAGGTAAATATGATAAATGTTAAGTCATATTTTCAAAAGTACTTAAGTACATTCGGCACCTAGTCTTGATTTCAAGATTTCAGTGCTGGATTACCATTTGGTATAGAGATCTTTCATCTCTTACATTGTTCAAGCCAGTTTCCTAAACAAGCACTGAAAAATACATGGTAAGGAATAAATCCTGCTTTAGCAGCCAGATACTGAAATTAATGGGAGATAGATAGGTGCCTTACTAAAGACATTCTGAAAATCCTTCTGAATTCTGACATGTTTCTTTTAGGCCTAATTATCCTCGACAGTCTGGGCCATCTATGATGACCAGAAACAGTCTGTTAACTCACCAACAAAGCTTGGTTTCTTTGTTTGTAAAATCAGTTTGTTTTGAGAGTAAAACATGATTGGTCAGTCCACTCATTATGTATCCAGTCCATTTACATGTGCCCTAATTATGCTGAAATTGTACACTTTTGATTGAATTCTAAATTCCATGAAAAACCAGAATGACACAAATTCCAATTAAGAAAACCTAGTTAATGATGAATAAATCATTCACTATAACAGAATAAAAATATAAGTAATCTAAATCAATGTATGTTTACTGGCAGTTGCTTAAAGACATGTGTATATAGTTTGCCTTCCTGGTTAGTGAAGAGAAGTATCAAATTTAAAGTAGAGCTTGTATTTAGTTGCTGATAAAAACATTTAATGATTGATTATATCAACCGTTAAGAACCTTTCTTTATGAAAATAACTAAAAGGTACAGTGGCAGAATAAAATTAAACTTTGCTATTTCAATCAGTATGTCTTTTTTCTGTCAGTTAAAAATCAGTAAATCAATTTTATTTTTAAATCAAACCAGGCTGATATTCATCTAGTTTGCAATAATAAATGGAATCTTTCTGAAAATGTTATGGTAGTGGATATACTGGTGATACAATTTAACATTTCTTCAGCACTTCACTTGTAAGGATCTCAGAATTCTATAGATACATTAATTGAGAAAAGGAAATGTACAGTCTTGTTTTCAGGTTTGGACCTGAGGCAGAGAGTATTTAAGTCACTTCCTTGTGATTTATGAAAGAAGTCTGTGAAAGTCTGTTTTTTTCACATTTAACCCATTGCTTAAGGCATAAGACCAATCTTTCCTCAACCAAGATAACATAAAAAAAGCTATTTGCCAGTATGCGAAGAAAAGTGTGTGAATGTGTTTGACGATAATAACTGTATCATGATAAAAAATTAAGAGACCAATAACCAAATTCTTCTTATCTACTGTTTGTGTTGTGTGTGGGCCATGGCCTCATTGTGTTAGCTACTATATAAACACATAATACAGAAGCAATCCTTGCCTTAAATAGGTAATGGTTTTAATTATAAATGGAGTGTCAGCTGGTGAATACAGTAACTATGTGCTGATCTCAAGGGAACATGCATTCAGTGCACATCTAGAAAGGATATCTTTAGTGTAACTAAACTATGCTAATTTTGCCGTAAATCTATGACATGCCAAAAAAATTTCAGTTCAGTATTTTTCAGAAATGTCCTTGTGTTTGGGATAAATCTCCAGAGCTCTGAAAGGCACAGGAGATAGGTCTTTTATAGCTGTGTTCTAGAATCCAGTATTTGGTAGTGAACACTATTTAAATAGCATTATGCATTTTCCCCTTTTGTTTTCCAGCTATTTTTCTTCAGCAGTGCCATTTTCTAAGACAGGCAGGTCATTCGGAGAAAGCTGTGTCTTTGTTCCAGGCTCTGATTGACTTCACCTTCTTTAAACCTGACAGTGTAAAAGATCTCCCAACAAGAAGACAGGTAGCAGCTTCCATTTAGATTTTTTTTTAACTTTATCTGATGTGATCTGTGTACACTGGAACTTCAGCATCATGACAGAAAATATATGTGAATTTAAAGATGTTACTTGGGTTTTGCATTGCCTCACTATTTATTTTTTAGTTCTTCAAAGTGGTCCCTGCCATTTCCCACAGTTAGAAAATGCTATCTTGTTGCTACAAGCATATACAAATGCAGTAGGATTATACAACTACCCCCCTTTTCAGCTCTGTTGCTTTAGCTTGTGTAGAGGTTCTGTCTTCAACTGTAACAGGTCCTGCTTCTCCCCAGTTAAAATAGGAAGTGTGTCAGCAAAAGTAGTTAACTAACTAAGGTCTAGTTTTCCAGACATGTTGTTAGCACTTTCTGTATCCTTTTTCCTAGTTTGAATAGTGCTATGAAGTTTATTACATATTGATATGGGGAGCTGGCAATGATCATAGACACTTCCCATTTTTACAGTCTTTATTGAGAAGTCCTTGTACCTCCATTATTTTAACAGACCTTTGATATTCAGTAGCAGGAATGCCTTCATGCTCCAAAAGTGCTTTAGGGAGTTGCCAGAAAATCTGTAGAGGGAGAGGAGCCTGTTGTTCACATGGTTTACGCCTCCTCCGAGGCCGTTGTGTGGCACAAAAATTGGGCCAGGTTCTCTGCTTTCACTCTCCATCTCGCCCACACCATCCCAACAGTTGATCTCAGTCCCCAGCATCTTGTTCCCCTTCTCTGGGATAACAGACTTTTGCAGATGCCAACTGCTGCAGTAAATCCCGTAGCTTAAATGTTAGCAGTCTCTGTTATGGCACTTGAAGTTTACTGTTCCACTAAGATAATGAGAGTGCAGATTTGGTGAGGGAGTGATGCTACCGTTGCATACGCAAGTTGCTTTTACTTTTTCCTTTTGTTTAAAGTCCTATTCAACTTAATTTAAAAATTAACTTTGTGAAAAGAGTATCAGAGCACTTTGGAATTTCCTGCTGCTCTGAGCTTCACCTTGTGAGGGCTCTGACTCTTCTTCCCTCTGTGCCTTTGAATGGTAGTGTTAGGCTATTTCCTCCATCTGTATCAACTGAACCATTTGTGTCTACCTCTGTCATACAGCAAAAAGAATTGTGAGACTACTGAATTCTGTTAAGTTGTGAGATTTGCTAATTAAAGAGGTACGGATGAAAAAAATTGGCTAATGGGGCACACCCAGAGAGTAGTGGTGGACAGGTTGTACTCAACCTGGCGAGATGTGAGCAGTGGGGTACCCCAGGGCGTGGTCCTGGGGCCGCACTGTTTAACATCTTCATCAGCAACTTGGACGAGGGGGTGGAAAGCACGCTGTCCAAGTTTGCTGATGACACTAAGATGTGGGGCGAGGTGGACACACTTGAAGGGGGAGAGAGGCTGCAACTAGATTTAGACAGACTACAAAAGTGGGCAGACGAGAATAGGATGGGGTTCAACGTAGACAAATGCAGGGTGCTGCCCCTTGGGAGAAGGAATCCACAGCATACATACAGACTGGGGAGTTCCCTTCCTGAAAGCACAGAGGCGGAAAGGAGTCTTAGAGTCATTATTGACTCCAAGATGAATATGAGCTAGCAAGGCCAGCCATACCTTGTCATGCATCCAAAGGTGCATCTCAAGCCGGTCCAGAGAGGTGATACTCCCCCTCTATGCGACTTTG